GCTTACTATTCTTATACTTTCAATTATAGATGAACGAGTTTTGTATTTGATAGTGTACGTACATTGAAGCACACGATAGTAGTGTACGTGTGTTCTCATATATGACACAAAGCCAAAACATTTAATGCATGTATTTGATAGTGCACGTACGTTCTCAGATATGACATAAAGCAAAAACATTTAATGCAGAACATTAATTATATTGAACAGACGGAAAGTAAGAGCATTTTCGTCCAAAATCTTGCCATGTGACTAATTTGTAAGCCAAAACTCATTTGTGACTTTTTAGCAATTACAAACTCAAATTGTGATTTTTTAGTACATGTCTCTTTAATTTTTTCGGATAAACCAACTCACTTTTTCATTTTCGAAATTTCAATAAACATAACTCAAATAATTATTATGTTTTTGTTTGAAATATATGTTCAAGCACCCATTTACATTTTTATAATCTTATATGGGGTGACTATATAAAATGCAACGTGATATATATATAGTACTCCATTTTTTGAGAAAGATGATAGATAGTACACTCCTTGGTCTTTTTATATCCCTATTAGTACATTATAATATTATTCTAAAAGACTAAATCCAACCAATGGTGGTAGTCAATACGTAGACTTGGACACTAGAGCAAAGTAACATGCATCAAAGTTGTTAATGATGATGTACCGGCCAAATACCAAAGTTGTTGCTTCATGGCAATAACTTTGAAATAACCTTAGTGACTGATGTATGTATCACTGCATGCGATCGAATTCTCATATATATAGCAGAGAATTATTACCATGGTTGGGTCAACATTATTTACCCGTGACCGTGTGTGTAGTAAGGAAACATCAAATAGTAGAATTTTGAAGATCACATAATGAATTCAAACATTTAATTTTGCCTCATAATTAAAATCCTTGATATTAGGTAAAAAATCAAATTAAAATTAAACCAAGATATTATGGAGATTATGCTAAAAGAACCTCATAAATATAAATACATTTTTGTATTACTATCAATAGGATTTTTATTGTTATTAGATCATCTACAATATTATTTTTGTGATCAAACTATGTTTGTATAAACTTTAGTGATATGGATAAATGCAAGAATCTAAAAATAAAGTTATTAAGAATATTTTTCATCACCTGTCCAAGTGAGCTTGAATTTGGGACCAGTGGGGCCATCTTCGCCAAGCACTTCAATAGGAATCTTGCCGATGAGTTTCCGGAAACCTTTCCGTATAAATGGCGGCAAAAGCTTAGCGATAGTGTTAAGAGACTTGCCAAAGTTGTAATGTACTCGAGGTCCCCATCTCCTAGAATAGTTAGTCCACGGTGGC